ATACAGCAAAAGTATAGCATAGGATTTCAAACTTCAGGACGCCAGTTCATAGTTAAATGAACTTGCTGATGCAAACGTATAATGGTCTTCTTATATTTGCTTCCTAAGCGGATGAAAAATTTTCTGAGAGAAAGAAGTACCTCAGCAGTCAATTTAGCATCTATGCCTCCAGACGATGTAACTGGACTTGCCTATTCTAAGGTATAATCATTCTAATCCCACCATGCATTATGATATGCTGGAATAATGGACTGACAAAATCACTAAAAATTATGGGCAAACCATGAATCCTTAGCATATCTCTATGCAAGGTTATTTGTTTGGATCATCTGGTGCTGGTGATAATGTTAGTAATCTTCTGAACCCAATAATTGTAACTTCTGCAGGGTACTGAAGCTCGCTTGAGAAAAGGTAATGGTAAACAACGGAGCTTAGTGCAAATGCAAGAAAAAGAGCTTCTGGTATGTATATCTTTTCTTTGTCTTGCAATTTTTACTATCATTCTTATTTGGCAAGGACAATCCTGTTAACTTGCCTGCATAAGTGCTAAGGTGAGGCCAAGGTGGCTAAAATTGGCTCATCCCGTCCTATGCAAGGCATCTTTGACCGTAAGGTGTTCTGTTCCAATAATAAGACTTTTTCTAAGCTTACATTATTGTTTCTCAGGATCTCAAGGCATTGTTATCCAAAACAAAAAGAGAGTTTGAAGGCTTACAGATAGAGTTACACAGAGACTTGAAAGAGCTGGGTATGTTTTCGGGAAAGTGTTTGTAACTAATGAGTATTGAATAATTATTGTATGATACCAGTCATGTTTTAGTTTGAATTTATCATTTTCTTAAACTTTTATCTGCAAATAGACAAGGATCAACAAGTATTGCTAAGTTGTCTTATTGTTGCCCTTTTGTACGCACATTAATTAAATATCTCTTTTTTTTTTTCTTGCATGGGGTCAGGAAACCAAGTAGGGGAAATGTCAACCGCTGCTCTTGGGTATCACAAGGTGGTCGAAGAGAATAGGAAGTTGTACAACATGGTTCAGGATTTGAAAGGTAAAAAAACAAGGATTGATTTTATTGAACCATCAATAATGAATTATATAATGACATATTTTTCTTTCAGGAAATATCCGAGTTTTCTGCAGAATTAGGCCTGCTTTCTGTGCTGAGACAAAAAATGTGATACATTTTATTGGAGAGGATGGTACCCTAGTGGTTTCAGACCCGTCAAAACTGCAAAAAGATGGGAGAAAAGTTTTTCAATTCAATCATGTGTTTGGCCCAAGTGCTACTCAAGGTGTAATAGAATAAAACTTTGTGCTAGTTCATAGTTTTCTTGTGCATAAAGCTGATTACATTGTGCATGACTCTTTATTTCAGGTGATGTGTTTAAGGAGACTCAACCTTTGATTCGGTCAGTAATGGATGGTTATAATGTTTGCATATTTGCATATGGCCAAACAGGATCTGGCAAAACATATACCATGGTAAGAACTCTATTATTTATAGGCTCTGGAAATCCAGTAACATCAAAGTGGTTACTATTTTACAAGCCATCTGCAAGAGAAAGTTTTTACAAGATTTTACCATGTTTCTGCTGCCTCCTATTATCTAAGTTATCTTTCTGGTAACAGAGTGGTCCATCTGGTGGTTCAACTGAGGATCTTGGGTTTAATTATCTGGCTCTGAATGATCTCTTTCTGATTTCCAGTCAAAGAAAGGATGTTATTAATTATGACATTCATGTTCAAATGGTTGAAATATATAACGAACAAGTGCGCGACCTTCTTGCTGAAGATTCATCATGCACCAAATATCCTTTCATATTTTGATGTTCAACCATACAGATTAATTTTTATCTTAATCAAAATAGGCATGCATACATTTCAAAACAAAAAGATTTTTTCTACTAGCATTTTTAATTTAAAAAAAATGAATTCTTTGTAACCTTAACGTGCACAAATTAGAGATTCGGAGCTGTACTAGTGATAATGGCTTGAACCTTCCTGATGCTAAACTGCATCATGTGAACTCAACAAATGATATTCTTGATCTAATGAAATTTGGAGAGGTGAATCGTGTTGTCAGTTCCACTGCAATGAATGACCGAAGTAGCCGCTCCCATAGGTAAGTTTTATAGAGCTAAGTTCTTCAAATTTTTCTCCAAGCTATTTTTCCAATCTTGACGGAGCAGAGTTTGGCATGTTTTTGCAGTGTCTTGACAGTGCATGTGCATGGCCAAGATGTGAGTGGCAACATTTTGCGGAGTTGCTTGCATTTGGTAGACCTTGCTGGAAGTGAAAGAGTGGACAAATCAGAAGTCACGGGAGATAGGCTCAAAGAGGCTCAGCATATAAATAAGTCTCTTTCTTGTTTAGGAGATGTCATCACTGCTTTGGCTCAAAAGAACTCCCACATCCCTTACCGAAACAGCAAACTCACTCTGCTCTTGCAGGACTCATTAGGTTGGCATATACTTCTATTAACATCTTTCTTCATTATCTCCAGTTTTTATAGTACTCTTATGAATCATACTGGGTATAGAATTAAAATTTTTCTGTGTGAATATTTATTCTAGGTGGACAGGCTAAGACATTAATGTTTGCTCATGTGAGTCCGGAAGAAGACTCTTTTCTTGAAACTGTTAGCACTTTGAAGTTTGCTCAGAGGGTCTCAACTGTGGAACTTGGTGCTGCTCGTCTGAACAAAGAAAGCAGTGAGGTTATGAAACTTAAGGACCAGGTATGCCTATTCACTTTAACTGTGTTTCTTGATGCTTTTCAGCTTAAATGCTATTATGATAGATTAATTAATTGCGTTGTCATTTAGCACCTTTAGCAATATATTTATGATTGTCCATTTAGATTATGCAAGGAACCTGTGTCAAACCGGGAGAAAGGCCTAGGTTTTATAAAATCTGTGAAAATAGAAATAGAAGGATGTCCTGGTTCTGTTGGTTCCTTCCATTAGTTCTTTTCTTCTGTTAGAAGAAAATTTTGACTGGCTGCCTTGCAACTTTTCTGAATGTGACCGTATCATATGTTTGAGTCGTAGCATTCTCATTTTCTTTCGTAGCAAGGCAATCAACGTACTGGTTTTCATTCATGTTTTCACTCTTGTAGATTGAAAGCCTCAAGAAGGCATTGGCAAACAAGGAAGCACAAGGTGCACCATTCAATAAAATAAAGGACCCTAGATCTCCAAGGGAAAAAATCAAAGCAGTGACTGACAGAACTCCTCCTCGGGCTCGAAGGTTGAGCATCGAGAATGGTAGCGCAGTGAAGACTGATAGAATGACAAATACTGAAGTGAAGAAAGGACCAAAATCCCCTTCAATTCCTTCTCGAGCTAGGAGGTTGAGCTTAGAGGGTCCAAGATATGAAAGGAAGGATAACATTCAGATTAAACCATCCGACAATATGAGAGGACCACTAAATGTTGAGGCAATATCAATACAGAACCATAGTCATGTACATGATCCGGAGGCAGCCACAAGACAATATGGGCACCAAAGCAATGGTGGTTCTATGATGGAAACTTATCTTCCAAAAGTTCCTCGTAGTCCTACAAGTTCTTCCTTCCAGTATCGAGCACTAAAGACAGATGGTAGAATTCAAGTTCCAAAACTTCAGCTGCCAAAGACTCCTGAAAAGCAGGTTCAGATAGCAATACAAAGTGAACTTACTCCTACAGATTCTCGAACCACTAATGGAAAGGGCTCTCAAATAAGGAAATCCATCCGGACAACTATTGGAAAACTAATTAGTGGTTCTGAGAGGAGGTTGGTGAACTCAATTCCTAAACTGAATGTCACTAAAAATTTCAATCGAGCCTTGTAGCAATATTCTGCAGCTTTCTAACTATTGAGAATTTGCAGGGTCCAACCAAGCTTGGCAGAAGCAAAATCACCTGTTGGTGGAGAGAACAACAATAACAATGATGGCAAGTCCCCACTCACAGCTAATGCAAGAGCTATGAGGAGGCAATCACTAACTGGCATTCAAACTTCTGGACCAGAGAGATCTCGTAGGTCTTCACTTGGAGGGAAGCCAATTGACTCAAGTAAGTAGAAACCCAAGGAATAATCATCCTAAGGTCTATTTTCTGTTTACTTTATAAATTTTGTACCCTGAAAGCATGATCTAAACCAACCTTCTGTGCTATGATTTCTTATGCAGATGCAGACCACAACAAGAATTCAAGGACACCTCCTTCTGTCCAAAACTCCACAAAAACATCAAAGCGATGGCTGTAACCATTGAATTTTAGGTGTGACTGCCGGTAGGTGATGCTTTGACTTGAAGCAGACTGACATGCTGACACTTAGAGGACAATCCAGGAATTGCAAGAACCAGATTCAGACAGATTGAGCAAACACAAGTAGTTATGTACAAAGAGAATATAATTTCAGGTGAGGCAAAGGATCAAGCTGCTTATTGATTGTCTGTCATCTTATTAATGACTGGTAAATAATGTCAGATAGGTACTGACTGATCTAATGATTCTTGTAATTTCAATTCGGGAACACCCTGAGGATGTAAAGTTTCTTATTGGCTTAACGAATTCTTGACTTGTACTTCCACTCAGATTGCCTTCAAAATAAAGCTTCTTAATAAAAGCAGCCACATTTCCACATGGTCATGCTGTATAAAAGCAATTGTTCATGATGCAAGGAATAACCAATAAATTGAGCATGGACAAATTACAAAAGAAATAGGACAGTTTCAAATGTTTAATTATTTCTCCTACTAATAGTCTGTATAAAATGAGGAAGGACGAGATGATTACACTTTAAAAACAATGCTTACAATTACTGTGATGATGGTGAAAGTCTTGGTTAGTTCTAATGGTGTGGTCATAAGCTTGAATAAGGCGCTTCTGAAATCTTTTGAGGTCTAATCTCACAGTCTGACCCCCGAGATAAATCTTCTTTGTGTATTCCCATCCCCTTTTAGTCAGACTCCTTGGATTTCTGAGGACAGGGTCATTTTTCTCATAGATGTCATACAAAGAGCTCTCTTGAGGAAGAATCTTGTAGCCGATATACTTCAAACCAAGCTTCCTTGCAGGCTCTCCATAGTATGTCTCTGCTGCCCAATCTGTTCCAAGGGGAATAACTTGGATAAACACAGATCCAGGTCTCATAAATAGAAAATGTGTCATTGCAGCACCATGGACACCAACCATGGCATCACTTGAATTAAGGGCCCGGTAAATCTTAGCCAGTTCTGTTGTTCTTTCAGGTCTCAATATTTCAACTTGGAAACCAATTCTTTCTGCTGCTTCCACCAACAGATTCTCATTTGTTATTGCTCTAGATCCATTTCGGGACAAGATAACTAGCTTTGGTTTCCTTGGATGATCTCCTTGCACCTTTCTTGTGGTCTCTAATGAGAATACAGATGTTGGGGACACAAGGAGTTTTTCCTGCTCATCTCGCTCCTCATCCTGAATTAGACCTCTAATTCGAGGCCAGTAAGCTCTGTCTAGAAGGTTCCGGAAATCAACAATGCTCTTGTTCCCAGTCATAAGTGAAGAATCCACAGTGAGCTCGTCATGTATCCTCAAACCAACAATTGCCTTCGGAAAGCAATGAGTTCTATTGTCTCCAGTAAAATCTATTGCTGGATACTCTGAGAGATGTGAAAGGATATCTCCATACTTCATAATCCACCAGTTATGATATTCTAGCATCACAAACACAACCTTCTTGTTCAAATGCTGGGAGGTAATGTACAATGGCAAGATCCCATCATTAAATTCATGGTAAAGATTCCCGGTATAACCTCCTGTTGAGAAGACTATTGCTGGAACATCATGATTCACATCACAGTGATGGTGAACACCCAAATTTTCACTCATCAATATAAGGTCCAATTCATCAATGGTATCCATTACACTGGTTTCCCATTTTCGGGTGTACGGTTTGATCTTTTCATGTTGAAATTCCCCATGTTCCTTTTCATTGTCATCATCAACAAGGTGTGAAACATAACTAATGAAACGATTGCTGTTTCTTGAGCCATAGAGGAAAATAGAGGAGGAAGCAGAGTGTGTTCTCACATCACCCTTCATGATACATACATCAGTCCGAAAATGGACTCTATCACAGCAAATTTTCCCTGATTTTAGCCACAAAAAGAACCATAAGATTTACATAAAGAATTGAGAACATAGAACACCAAAATGAAAAGTCATCCAACTATTTCATCAGATCAAAGGAGACCAAAAAAATCCAGTCCATGTAAACAGATACAAGCATAAACAACAGCAGATTACTTGGATTCTTCATTTTTAAATAGATTTCCCAAAACTGAATTCTCCCAAGAGTCAAAAACCATAATTTGATAAGCTTAAATATGAAAACCAGAAAGCCATGGATAAGAGAAGCAGACTGACCATCAGATACTGAAGAACAAGGAGGAACATTAACACTCATATCAGCAGCAAGGCCTTCATTCTGCCCACCAAATGAATCTGTAAATCCCATAATATAGGTTTCACTATCAAAAAAAAAAAAAAAAGAGTCAAGGAAAACAAAACTGTAAACAGACGAAATTTTTACCCATTAGAGGGTGGAGCTTACAAAGATGAACCCAGGTAGAGGAAGAGATGAAAAGCAGAGGTGCTAGTATTAAGCTGCAACATACAAGAGAGAGCAAAAGGAAAGAAGCAAGTTTAGGCCTTTTTCTCTTGCAGTAACCAGAGTTTGCCCACACCAAAAGGAAGGTTTGTGCTTCTTCATCCTTGTCCATATTCTCCCAACCTTTCTTCCCCTGATGATGATAACGCAGATGGTGCACCATATCCTCTGCACAGTCAACACTGCTCTTGAAACAAAAAGCCCAGAAACAGGGAGTAAAAAAGGAGCCTTTTGCTGCGGCGCCCAAGTTAAAACCCCAAACGTTCCTACTGTGTTCAAGTTAAAAAACAAAACTTCAAGTGAAAAATAAAAAGAAGAGATTTGATCCTGGGTTTCTAGTGGGGAGACAGGAACGTTGTTTTTTCTTTCTTTGCTGAGAAAAAGGAAGAAAATGGGTTGAACTTTATTGAAGAAGACAAAGGATGGAGAAGGCGGGAGCCATGAAAGAAGGCCAAAATCATGCTTTGGAGAGGAAAAAGGTCATATTCATTACAGTCAAATTGTCTGCAATTGCGTGAATAATGGAGAGATGATGAGAGGGATTATTTCCTGTTTTCTGAAATTCAAAGCGCCGTTCTGTTAAGTCCCCCAAAAAAAAAAAGAGCTGTTCTGCAAGTCACGCTCTTTGGGGATGCGTGTGAGTTTTGTCAGTTTTGATCCAAGTGAGGATTGA